GACCCAACTGTGCACAAGTGTTTATGGAAAGTTTATCTAACAATCTAAAAGAAATAAATAGACTTCAAAAATATCCACCACTTCCGCTAACAAATGAAGACAAAAACCAAATTTCAAATGCAACCATTTGTCATATTTGTGAAACTGAGTTGGCAAAACATTTTTATGATTTTGATTGGTACACTGGTAGTTTTATAGGTGTTGCTCATGAATCATGTTGTTCGAAGATCAGAACACCTCGTTATATACCAATATTTTTACACAACCTTAGTCACTATGATGCTCATTTTATTGTTCACGCGTTAAACTTTTGTGATGGTGAAGTCGAAGTTATCCCTCAAAATAAAGAAAAATATATATCCTTTTCCAAAAAATTAAAAGTGAATAACCACGAAATTATATTGAGATTCTTAGATTCATTTAAGTTTTTATCGTGTAAATTAGAAGAATTGGCCAAAAATCTCAGTAATGATCAATTTCAAGAATTACGTAGAAATTACCCTAATGATGAAGATTTCTTTCGTTTAAAACGGAAAGGTGTTTATCCATATGAACTTATGACTAATTATGATAGTTTAAGTCTAACATCGCTCCCTGAACAAAAATGTTTTTATAGTTCACTCACAGATTCACATATTTCAAATGATGATTACAATCATGCTAAAGATGTTTGGGAACATTTTGGGTGTTGTAATATGCTAGATTATTCAAACCTGTATTTAAAAACAGACGTTTTACTTTTATCCGATGTATTTGAAAACTTTAGAAAGTTATGTATTAATACATAATATGATTTAGACCCTGTCCATTATTACACAGCACCCGGTTTAAGTTGGGATGCAATGTTAAAATATACAAAAATAGAATTAGAACTTTTAACAGATTATGAGAAAATTGCATTTATTAGATCAGGTATCAGAGGTGGTGTATCTCAATGTAGTAATCGTTATGCTAGAGCTAATAACAAATACATGGAGGATTATGATACAGGGAAACCAAATTCATATATCACATATTTTGATGCCAACAATTTATATGGTTGGGCTATGTCTCAATATCTTCCTACTGGTGGATTCGAATGGGTAAATCCAAATACAGAATTTAATGTGTCTAAGACATCAGACTTCGGTTTTATTTTAGAAGTTGATTTGGAATATCCAGATGAACTTCATGATTTACATTCGGACTTTCCTTTATGTCCAGAAAACATTTGTGTAGGTAATATTAATGAGAATAAACTAGTCCCAAATTTAAATAATAAAGATAAATATGTAATTCATTACAGAAATTTAAAGCAGTGCATAGAAATGGGGGTTAAATTAACTAAAATTCATAGAGTTTTAAAATTTAAACAGTCTCCCTGGTTGAAGATGTACATAGATCTAAACACAAAATTAAGAACTTTAGCAAAATCAGATTTCGAAAAAGATTTTTATAAATTAATGAATAATTCAGTCTTCGGTAAGACTATGGAGAATATTGAAAAAAGGGTTAACATAAAATTAGTTACGCACTGGGAGAACCAGGGTAAAGCTTTAGGTGCTCAAGATCTAATCGCTAAACCACAATTTCATAGCCTTTCAATATTTTCGGAAAACCTAGTTGCGGTTCAGTTGCGAAAAACGAAGTTAATATATAACAAACCAATTTATTTAGGGTTTTGCATTTTAGATATTTCAAAAACATTAATGTATGATTTTCATTATAACTATATGATTAAAAAGTTTAGTAAAATCAAATTATTGTATACAGATACGGATAGTTTAATATATCATATATTTACAAATGATTTTTACACTGATATAAAACCTGACCTTTCATCATACTTCGATACCTCAGATTATGATACAAATAATATTTTTGAATATCCAAAATTAAATAAAAAGAAATTAGGTTTTTTTAAAGATGAAAATAATGGTAAAATCATGAAAGAATTTGTGGGTTTACGATCCAAAATGTACGCTTTTAACTTAGAGAATAAGACTATAGCCAAGGCAAAAGGGGTAAATAAATGTATCACTAAAAAGATGACAATGAATAGTTATAAGTCTTCTCTATTTAATAAAAAAGTGCAATATTATAGTATGCTTAGATTTAAATCAATTAAACACACAATTTTCACACAAAAATTAAATAAGATAGGTTTATCATATAATGACACAAAGAGACATATTTTAGATAATAATATTGAAACATTAGCTTGGGGTCATTATAAACTGCGTTAAGTGTTGATAGTTTTTACTTTTATGTCTGCGTTTAAGAAAAATTTATATTGATTGTAAAATTATGATAACACTATAATATGACGTAGTTTATTACATATTTAATCATTGTTTTATTGTAAATAATTTAAGTTAATTGTTGTTTCTATTTATTTGAGGTTGAGTTAATTGTAAAATTATGATGTACTAATTGTTGTTTCTATTTATTTGAGGTTGAGTTAATTGTAAAATTATGATGTACTAATTGTGTTAGAAATAGTATACAGATAATTCTGTTTTATATAATTTTTGGAATATATATTAATTGTTTACACCAACACTTTCATTTTTTATTTCACCCCTTTGAACTTTAGACGTGTGTTATGTTTCACTTTATCCATCCGTTCACTGCTATTGTGGCAGGACCAAGTGGGTGTGGGAAGTCAAATTTTGTAACAAATTTCATAAAATCAGTTACAGAAATATGTAATTGTGATTTTAATCAGATCACATGGTGCTTTGATGAAATGCAACCATTATATAATTTACCAAATGTTAACTATCATCAAGGAATTCCAAATCTTAATATGTTTGATGGTGAAAACCCACATCTTGTTATTATTGATGATCTAATGAGAGAGTCCGATGGAAGAATTGTGGATATATTTACAAAAGGTAGTCATCACAGGAATCTTAGTGTATTTTATCTAACACAAAATTTATTTCATCAGGGTAAAGGACAAAGAGACATATCTTTAAACTCAAGTTATATAATATATTTTAAAAACCCTCGAGATAAAACTCAAATAAGATATTTAGCAAGACAAGTATCACCAGATAACCCAAAATTCATTGAAAATGCCTACAGGGATGCAACTCTAGAGGCGCATGGATATTTAATGGTAGATTTAAAACAGAATACCAATGATTTTTGTCGTATCAAGACAAATGTCTTTCCATTTAATGGTTTCTGTACAGTCTACGTCCCCACAAAAGAGTTTAAATACACCAAGAATCAAACAATTGAAATCATTGCTAAATGATGCATCGTCGACTCACAACGTATAAACATTTGCTAACCGCTTTGCATACGCTTAAACCAAAATATCAAAGAGCATTACTTAAAACGTGTGATGAAGAAGAAATTAACTGTATTTGTGAGTGTATTCATAACGTTTTACAAGGAAAAGTACCTCTTAAAGATCAGGATAAACAAAAATTGAATAAACATAAAAACATACTCCGTAAACTAGTACGTAAGTGTAAACATAAACTAAGAAAAAATATAATTATACAAAAAGGAGGGGCTTTCTTACCAACAATATTAGGTGCAATATTGAGTGGATTAGTGAGTGGACTAGCCAGTTAACATGGAAAATGCAAAGAAAATGATACTTATCGAACCTGGATTGATTGAAAAATTAAAACAAGAAAATAAGGTTAATAGTAATTTATCTCGATTAGATATTGAAATGCAAAATATTATGAATAGTAAGACGGAAGACCGAAAGAAATGGATATTATATTTACAAACACTGCAAAGATACCTTCATTTTACCGAAGAGGATCGTCAACCACTCAAATTACCAATTTATTTTGATACATCTAATGAAGATTCAAATGAGTCAAAAATTGGTTTTAAAAATAAAGATAGAGATCTAAAAACTTCAGTTGATATTGAATCTTTGCTGGAGGAGAATCGATCCATTAAAAGTAAAGAAAATGATGAAAATCCACTTTACACACCAGCTCAAATACTCAGTTTAATACCAAAAACTTATCATAAAAAAGGGCAGTTATTATTAAACTTAGTTGAAACAAGTAAAAGTAAAATACATTGGGATAATGAAGGTACAGTCATAATTGATAGTGAAAAAATTCCTGGAAGTAATATTGTTGATTTAATAAATGATTCACTAAGACCCCTAAAAAGAAGTGATCCGGTAGGGTGGGTTAGATTTGCTGAAGCATTAAAAGATATTAAGGTACCACTTACTTATATTGGAAATCCAAGGAGATGTGAGTTTATTAACCAACTTCAAGCAAAAGATCTGAACAAACCCTCTGAGATTGAAGTTCAAGAGTTTTCTACACCGGTCAGTAGAGATAAAAAGTCTACAACTAAAATACGTAAAGGACTTGAGTGGGAAAAATGGACCCCGTACTAGAAGAAATTAACAGGATTTATTATGATCCATCTAATCCCGCTGGTTTTGGTAGTATTGATAAATTATCAAAAGCCATGAAGGGTAAAATGAATAAAAAGCAAGTAAAGGAATGGTTAAAATCACAAGAAACATACACATTACATAAACCCATTCGAAAAAAATTCTCGCGTAATAGGTACATTCTATCAAATATTAATGAACTGTGGCAAGCTGATTTAAGTGATATGCGAACTTATTCTCAATATAATGATGGTTTCAAGTATATACTTTGTATTATTGATGTATTTAGTAAATATGCTTTTGCAAGACCAATGAAAAAGAAAAACTCAGAAACAACTAAAGAATGTTTAAAAGTATATTTACTGAAAGTAATTTAACACCTACTCACATACAATCCGATAAAGGTACAGAATTTGTTTCAAAAGATGTACAAAAATACTTTAAATCCAAAGAGATTAATTACTATACCACTAACAATCCTGACATTAAGGCTAGTATTGTTGAACGATTTCAAAGAACACTAAAAATGAAAATGTGGCGTTATTTCACTCATAATAATACTTATAGATATATAGATGTTTTACAAGATTTAATATACTCTTATAATCACAGCTTTCACTCTAGTATTAAGATGTGCCCATGTGATGTAAATTCCAACAATATTATGACAGTTTGGACTAATCTTTATGATAGACGGTCAAAAAAACTTTCTTTAGAAAATCCTAAACCAAATTTCAATGTGGGTGATTATGTTCAAATAACTAAATATAAACATGTATTCCAAAAAGGATATGAATCAAATTGGAGTGATGAAATATTTATTATATCTTCAATAATCACTTACAACCCCACCTCACAACATAAAATAGATAAAATAATTGACACTCGTTATTCAGGTAACAGAAAAGAAGTATTAGTGAAGTGGAAAGGTTATCCAGATAAATTTAACAGTTGGATTTTAGCTTCTAGTTTAAAAGAAATATGAATAAAGAAAGTTTCTATTTAACTTTGCTCAGCAATAGTTCAATGGAATACTTTCCTGATAACAAGACCACAAATTTTTCAACGAAATTACCAAAAGCTATAAAATTAGAAGGTGAATGGTCGGTTGGAGTTGTCGAGTTTCAATATCCATGTACCATGTTTACTGTTCAAGACCATGAAAATGTTATATACATTACAAAATCTATGTTAATGCCTAATGAAGATAAACCATCCACAGTGTACTACAAAAAACATATTCCAGCTACCAACTATGATAACATTGAGCATATTTTAAGAGTGTTAAATGGTATCGGAGAGAACTTGAAATTTCGCTATGATGAAATAACAAAATTTGTGTCTATTTCGGTATTGGATAAAAATATAACATCCGTAACATTATCACCCAAATTAAGTTTACAGCTAGGTTATGAACCAAATAAAAATCTCCTAGAGAGAAATTTTGGAAAGTGTCCTGCTAATTTACACTTAGGGTTACCATCTCAACTATTTCTATATTGCGACATTATCGATCCTCAGATTGTGGGTGATGTTATGACTCCTTTATTAAGAGTCATTTCATTAGATCCTACAAAATACATTTATGGTGCAAATAAAATGCACGTTTTCTCTCAACCTCACTACTTACCTGTTATGCGAAGAGAGTTCGATACGTTGGAAATAGTTATAAGATCGAGTACAGGACAAAAAATACCATTCCAGTTTGGAACCGTGTGTATTAAACTACATTTCCGAAAATTATAATAATGAATTCTCTTCGTGATCATCATAAATGTCCATATGAAAATTATTATACACATCAAGCTGGATCAGGAGTTGGAGTAATTTATAAGGGTTCACCATATCAACGCGGTCATGGTATTGGGAGCTTCTTAGGGGGGTTATTCAGATCAGTTTTACCTTTACTTTCAAGTGGTGCTCGAGTGATTGGTAAGGAGGCATTAAGCGCTGGAGTAGGACTTTTATCGGATATGGTTCAAGCCCGTCCTATGGAAGCCTCAATAAAAGATCGTCTAAAGCAAGTTAGTACGAATTTAAAACGAAAGGCTGATGAGAAAATTGATCATTTTAACATGACTGGATCTGGGTATAAAACTAAAAGAAAACGATTGACATCGTTCATTCCACCATTAACTGCTAAAGTGAAAGCTGCGAAAAAACTTTGTCTAAAACCAAAAAATATCAAAGATATATTTTCAAACTAAATATGTCTTTCCTTCATAATCATTCTTGTGAGTGCGTTAAGTCAGAATTGGATTTGTTTGCACTACCGTCTACACAAACTAGCATTGAAAATGGATTGTGGATTCATTATAAACCAATTTCATCTCTTGGTGATGATGGACCTATCGAGTTTCAAGTTCCTGGGACCGGCGATGACTACATAGATTTGTCTCATACATTACTCCACATAAAGGCAAAAGTATTAAATCAAGATTCAACTAACTTGGTATCTACTACAATAGTAGCACCTGTAAATAATTGGCTGCATTCACTTTTTAGTCAACTTGATGTTTATTTAAACCAAAAACTTGTATCACCACCTAATAATACCTATGCATATCGAGCATACATGGAAACCCTTTTAAACTATGCCCCTGCTGCTAAACAATCTCATCTTACTTGTAGTCTTTGGTATGAGGATACAGCAGGAAAAATGGATTCTACAGATGGTAAAAACATAGGATTTGTTAAAAGACAGGAATTGATTAGTGAAAGTAAGGAAATAGAAATGATTGGTCATCTTCACGGTGACATTTTTAACCAAGATAAATTTTTAATTAATGATGTTGAAATGAGTGTTAAATTGGTTCGATCAAGAGAGAGTTTTAATTTAATTGTTGGGTCAAATGATGTAAAGTTTAAAGTAGAAATGATTGGTCATCTTCACGGTGACATTTTTAACCAAGATAAATTTTTAATTAATGGTGTTGAAATGAGTGTTAAATTGGTTCGATCAAGAGAGAGTTTTAATTTAATTGTTGGGTCAAACGATGTAAAGTTTAAAGTTTGCATTACGGACGCAACTCTTATTGTTCGACGAGCACGAATTAATCCAAGTGTATTACTCGCACATCAAAAAGTTTTAGCTTCTACCACTGCTAAATATCCTATTACTCGAGCTGAAGTAAAAGTTTTAACAATTCCTTCGGGTGTTCAAGGAAAAACTCTTGATAATATATTTTTAGGACAGGTACCGAAAAGATGTATAATTGGATTTGTGAACAATTCTGCATTTAATGGTTCCCTTACTAAAAATCCATTTAACTTTGAAAACTATGGTATTAATTCTTTCAGCTTATATATTGATGGTCAACAAATACCTTCAAAAGCTTTGCAACCATCTTTTAATAATAGCATATTTACATCAGCATATCATACTCTATTCTCGGGAACTGGTATTCACTTTCTTAATGAAGGAAATGGAATCTCTTGTGAACAGTATGGCAAAGGTTACTGTCTATTAGCATTTGACTTAACTCCTGATTTATCAGCTAACTCATCAACTCATTGGAATCTCATAAAGCATGGTAGTGTAAGAATAGAAGTACGATTTGAATCCTCATTAATACAAACAATTAACTGTATAGTTTATGCTGAGTTTGATAATATTATTGAGATAGATAAAAACAGAAATGTTACTGTAGACTATAGTAGTTAAGGTTATAATATGTGTTGTGTGTTAGATTTTATGTGTTATGTGTAATGCATTTTGTGTGTATGTAACTATGTGAAACGTTATAAAATTAAATAAAACAAATTGTATGCAATATATTTTTTTTTTATTTCTTTATAAATCTTCTATTTAATCTAATACAAAACACTGTTCGAGTTGAAATTTTACATAAGCACACTGACTAAACCACTGAACATGCTGCTGCCAAGGATCATCATCATCTTCCCAATCTTTTAAACCACCACCACAATGGAAACACTTGGTCCCGTCTGCATGGCCAGTATAAAAGAAACCAGCTTCTGCAAGATCTTCAGGTTTCTGTCGCATAACGAGAGGCCAGTTTTCGAAACTAAGCAAACGGCTAGATTTTGAACTGAAGAATGGATATTCAGCTCTTGAGTACTGCATACTCTTCTCGTTTTCTTCTCCACTCAGTGTTGTAGTTTTGTTATTCAATGATGTGTTTTGTACACGTATGCCACACTCATCTCTTCCTTCCGCTCTTGTCTTCCTGTAATTGAAGTAAACAGAATCACATTCACTAATGATCAGCTAATGACTGTCATTGTTAAAAAAGTATTTTTTAACTTTTTCACTTTCTGCTATTGTCTTTGTTATATTGTATACGAGGGCGTTTGTGTTGTCGTAGATGCTATCCTTATTAGTCTTTACGTAATATTTAATTCTCGTGGAAGCATGTTTCCAATGATCAGTAGTTGGAATCTTGGATAGCTTCTTCATATCGTACATTTCAATTTTGATGAGATGCGTCGCTTGGTCTCCGTCGTCAGAATTAGTAGAAATGTATGATACACCATCTCTAGCGGCTCGTGCTACGGTTGATGATAACAGCTTCCTCTTTTTTATTTTTGATTCAGCTTCAAAAAAATGATCAATCGATTGCGATTTTCTTTTTCCACCATCGCATGTGTTGTTATTAATGACGAGGTTATCACTCTCTTCTTGAGGGGAGAGTGGCGAGTAGTAATACTGTTTATAGGTATCTTCATCGAAGCTCAATGATTTCTGCAACAACACAGTTATCATGTTAATATCAATTTGTTAACACTTAATCATAAAAGTTAAAAAAGTTAAAGTTACAGCCTATTAAAGTCCACTGCTGAACATAGGCCTCCTCTCATTTCTGAGAGGGTTTTAGAGCAAGGAAATGTCCGCCGCGCTCCCTCAATGTGTGTTGGCGAACTTCACATGCCTTCGAAATTTTCTCAGACATGCAGGTTTCCTCACGATGTTTTCCTTCACCACCAAGCACGTGGTAATAAGCACTTAAAATTGCGATTAACAATTTAATTGGTGCTGGCGGGGATCGAACCCGGGTCGCGTACTGTGAAATTTACAGCTAGCGCTAACCATCTGAGTTACCACGGCTTAATCATATACATACACAATATTTAAATAAAATAATACACACACATGAAAATAACAGAAAAAAAGTAATTTAGTCAATAGAATAAACACTTACATCCATAGCCTTTGGTGTATTGAAGTAACACAAATGTACTATTGATAGATCCACTGTAGTCAAACGACCGTACACTAACTCGATGACTGCGTCTGTTGGTCTTATATACCACCAGTACGTAAAAATTCTAATCTAAAGTATTTCCGTAATGAGTTGATAATTACTTTATGCGTCAACCAGTTTATCTCACATTTCCGTTGTCTATCTCAACATTTCTTCGTATTGTGTTTTGTTTGGTGATCAATGACTCAAGTACGATTTGTATAACACAAAAATGCAATTTAATATTTAGAAACATATCAGTTTATCTCACATTTCCGTTGCCTATCTCAACATTTCTTCGTATTGTGTTTTGTTTGGTGATCAATGACTCAAGTACGATTTGTATAACACAAAAATGCAATTTAATATTTAGAAATCACTATAATTGACCATTCCTATGTTATTCATTGAGTAGATTGGTACTGTAATAATCTACTAATAGCAGTAATATCATGGATACACTAGATGTACAACAACATCTGAAAAAGATTCACCCCAGTCTAGAAAATAATGTTTATGCAGCTAATAGACTGCCTATGTATACCCACGTACCAACGTATATAATATGTAATTTGGATACAGATGATAAACCAGGGTCACATTGGGTAGCTTTATATATCGATACGAATGACGTCGGTCAATATTTTGATTCATATGGACGATCACCTGTACTATATCATCTAGAGTTTTTAAAAAGGAATTGTAAAAGATGGAACTGGAATGTTGATAGGATTCAGAATGAGTGGACTTCAGTTTGTGGCGAATATTGCTTAATGTATTTGCTATATAAGTTTCAAGGATGTTCAATACATAGTTTTACGAGTATATTTACAAGGAACACATTGTACAACGATATTTTAGTGGATGAGATGTTTCGCTCCTATTTTATAGATAATAAGTAATAAGATTTTGAATTTTATAAATAAAAATTGTAACAAAATTATGTAATGTGTTTTATTGGTGATTCTGATTAGCGTTGTATAATTAGGAACAAAGAAGTACAATACAATAGCACTGATATAGTCGACGCACACGCTGCAATGAAGGTGATTAATGAACAATAGAACAATAGAAATAGGAACAATGGGACGCTAATGACGGTGGAGGCCCTTACCGGATATCAATTAGATATTAGCTAATTGATCTACACATCTCCGGAACCGTGCATTCTACACAAAAATGGACCGCGGATTCGTGATCAGAGCATGCCAAAACCTTTTTTTTTTTTTTTTTTTTTAGTATCGTGTGTCGACGAACGTCGTTGAACCACGTCTGACTCAGGTGGTCTAGAAGTGGTACAACTACACTACTTAGTACACTGTCGATGGTTTATCTTCATTAGGCATCAACATGGATTTTGTAATGTATATAACATTTTCATGATCTTGAACAGTAAACATGGTACATGGATATTGAAACTCGACAACTCCCACCGACCATTCACCTTCTAACTTCATAGCTTTTGGTAATTTCGTTGAAAAATTTGTGGTCTTGTTATCAGGAAAGTATTCCATTGAGCTATTGCTGAGCAAAGTTAAATAAAAACTTTCTTTATTCATATTTCTTTTAAACTAGAAGCTAAAATGCAACAGTTAAATTTATCTGGAGAACCTTTCCACTTCACTAATACTTCTTTTCTGTTAACTGAATAACGAGTGTCAATTATTTTATCTATTTTATATTGTGGAAATGACTAAAATTAACTAATGTAGCTGTTTCAGCACATTTTAACAGTGGTAGAGCCACGCGGCAGCTTTTGCTGTCGCACGGATGGGCCGGCTCGAACCGGGGTGGTACCACGACCTCACAGAAAACCAGCGTGAAGTAGGTTTACCTCTGCGTTTCGCTTGGTGAGTGCAGGTGGCCGGAGGCCCTTTTTACTGGAAATGAGGCATTCCATCTTAGTCCTCACGGGTGACAACGCATCTACATTTTGATTTGTAATAGAAGATAGATGTAGATGTCTATGGGCCGCAGCAACCACTTACCATCAGGTGGACTGTGTGCTCGTTTGTCACCCTTATCCTATAAAAAAAAATGTAAGGCCTCTTAATTTTTTTTTGTATAAGGTTTTCTGCTTTATATAATTTTTTTGTATAAGGTTTGGCTTGGCTTGGTTTGGCGGCACCGTGGCGCAGTGGCTTTGCAATGGTCACAATGCTAAGGGCCGCGGGTTAGAATCCTGCACGGAACAAGTATTTGTATGGCCTACAAATAATTGTTCCGGGTATGGATATTTGTCCTTGTAAAATTTATGTATGTAAACTGACCCCACGATACAGGAGAAAATCCTAGTGTGGAGGTAACGTTTTAAAAAAAAACTATCAAATATTTAATTCCTTATATTTTAGTATCATACAATATTTTCTAACAATTTGCTTAGTACGAAAGCAAATATTGTCTAGTATATGAATATCATATACAAAAATATAATAATTTACAACATTTATTGTAAATTTCTACATTTTAAATTCCAAATTGAAAAAGCTAATGTATAAGTTAAACATTTTCAGATAAACAGACGAAATCGGATACTACTCTAAAAATTATAAGTTGTTATACATATCCGTAATCAGGAAAATCAGCTCTATATTTCCTTCTTAGACGTCTTTTTTGTATTGACAGAGATTGCCGCGCGACAAGCTCCCTGGCGGCGCGTTAGTTCTATGGTCCGGAGTCCCGGAGAGCGAGAACGCCTGCCAGGGAGTGGGGGTGCTGCTGTCTTCTCGGTTAGTCGATGTTATGACTGAATATAAGGTTGTGAACTCAAGACTTCTCTGGGTTCGCTTTAAATTGGGACTGACGAAGTTATTCCTTTTGGCTGTTTATGCGCCGGTAGCTTCGTCGTCCAGGGCTGAGCTGGAGGAGTTTTGGGAGAATGTAAGAGAAGTTCTAGATTTGGCTAGGGGAAACGAAAGAATTGTTGTATGTGGTGATTTGAATGGATGGGTTGGTACCGCTCGACCAGGGTACGAGTCGGTACTTGGAAAGTTTGGCGATAAAAGGGTTAATGATGCTGGCAAGCTTATACTGGCGGTGTGCAAGGAAAAGGGTCTTCTTGTGACAAACACTATGTTTAATCACAAGAAAATCCATATGTATACTAGAGAACGAAAGAATGAGAGAAGTATGATCGATTTGTTCCTGGTGGATGACCGACTGCGAAAACAGGTGATGGATACGCGAGTGTTCAGGGGTGCTGACCTGGGAACGGATCACTATCTAGTGATTACTAGATTTAGGGGTCTGTTCGCGGGTTGGCGCTACCGGACGGCAGTAACAGAACCACAGTCGGTCTGTCGCATCCGAAGCTGGAAGCTTCAGGAAGCGGATACTAGGGACAAATATCATGCGAGGGTAGCCGAAAAGCTTGACACCATCGATGGCAGAAAAGAATGTGTAGAAAGAACATGGCAGAACCTTAGGGATGGAATGGTAAGTGCAGCGGAAGAAGTGTGTG